GACGTTTCTGCACTTCGCCCCGGAGGCATTCCGACTTGGAACCTCCTGCGCTCACCAGTCGTGGTTTCAAGGAGCACGACTTTCGAACAGGTCGCCGTCTTCATTCACGAAGGTAGTTTCTCAATTCCAAGTAGACGCAACTCTTATATTAATTTGGTCCCATCCAGGTCTCGAAATTATGCAACGACACAAAGGACAGTTTGGAAAGACTATGAAGGATTTTAAGGCTTTCATCGAGACCAACAAGGAATTCTTGAAGGAAATCGAAGAACTCGCAGAGGTTTGTAGTTTTTCATCACAATCATCCAGTGCTTATTTATGAGTTCTCATTCCAGAGAGTCGAAGCATTCTCGATGAAGTTTGATATTCCTGGGGACGGAGAGTTTTGAAGAGCAATAAGGCTGTCTTTCGCTTCACTTAACGACTGGACCTCATTCCATGAATCGTTTAGTTTGTTAAACTTTCATTTTGGCCATCCCCTTTGCACGTGTTTCCCCTATTACGGTGGTTGTTTCCAGATGCATATCAAAAGAAATATTTATAAAAATTCATTATCAGAAATAAAACTTCTATATCGATCGGTATCCCACCCATTGATTCGGCAGATGAATCTCACCAGTCTCGAGATTGGTTCGTGTGCAGTATCTCCTCCTTTCTAGCCATAATAAGATCTGTCAGTGTCTTTTACGAGTATACTGCTCCAAGTACTCAGTGTCGGGTACCTAAAGTAACGTCGACGGAGGTAACGGGTACGAGTTCAGTAACACAATTCCACAATGAAGGTTCAGTCAACATTCGCAGATATCCCATTATTGTACAGATTCTACAAGGTTTCTAGAGCAAGTAAAGGGGTATATGGCGAGAGAATCGTAAATTGTCGCGCCGGCCGGCGTGGTCAGCGACGCCGCCCGACGAAAGACGTCTTCTCTCGCCTTTGCCGTTTGAATTCGAATATCAAAGGGACGGGTGTTACTGAAGCGCGCTAGCCGTTACCGATTCAGGGGGTTTCCACGTTTTCCTGTATGTTTTGAACGCACTATACGAGAAATGGCCAAAAGCACGTAAAAAATGTGCGGAAATATGGAAAAATGAAGAAAATGCAAAATTCTGCGAATTTCACTGCTCCAGTCGAGAAAAAATTGCCCAGCTTTCGGATTAACCGCGTCATCGCCAGCGCGGAAGTCCACATTAAGAAATTTTCTTTGGCGCTCAAGTCGCCAGAGCGGTGGCGACGTGCGACGATGGCGCGGCAAATTACCATTCTCTTGTCCCTCTCCGGGATTCCCATCCCCCCTCCCGTTCTTTGCGACGCCAACCGTCGACATTTTCAGGAGACAAAGAGTGTAACAGTCCTGGGTCTTATCCCTGAGTTCAGGGATAAGACCCAGAACTGTTACGCGACGAAGAAGCGATACTTATTATTAATGGAAAAATCAAGAATTTGGTAGGGTTCGTTTCCCGCAGAAAGTGGATTCTTCTATTGCGTGACGCCAGGGTACTGGAGGGGTCTTTGCATAGGATTCTCTCGCCTCACCTTCAAACCTCCAAAAGCTCAGGTTGTACACCAGATGAGCGTGAACCTTGTCCCGCGACGGGAGAACTGAGCAAGGACACGTCATGGCGCTGGGACTTCTGCTCAGCAGCTAAGTGTCAGTTTCATCGATATAGAGAGGGCGAGAGGGAGCATTGTATTGGGTTGGCCACATAAGTCACTTTCGTTTTTTTTCAACCGGAAATTTCGTTCCAAAGATGAAACGTTTTGCTAGCAAGCTTGATATCATCTGATAGGAAACTTCACGTAGTTTTAGAATATCAAAACGGCTTCGGTTGAGGGAATAATTTTTGTGGATTTTTTAGTCGTTGAAGTTGAAAGCAAAGTCGGCGAAAATAGCACCTTCGACAACTGCCCCTCTTTTTACGTATAGTCAAAGTGCTAAAATCGCTTAAGCTGCTCCATACATTTGGAAAAGGTCGAGCTAGAAGTTCCAGCAAGGGAATCTCACTAGGACGCTTTGGAACGAATTTCAAGAATTTTGAAGTTACCAACCTTCACCTCGCCGATATTGGGCAGCTCACGTCTGTTCCACCTGAAATTTTATGCTAATATTTGAATGTTTCGCTATATGTTTTGCATGTTCTGATAGCGAATTTCGTGCTCTATAAACAGTGCTATAAAAATCTATTCTCCGAGAAGTGTTTCTGCTTTCTGTTAAGTTCAAGTTATCATTACGGAACGGCGAAGTCGTTGAGAACTAGGGTTCCGTTCTCCACGAATTTTATGCTAACATTTGAATGTTTCGCTAATGTGTTCTATATGTTCTGATAGCCAATTTCGTGCTCTATAACATCTGCGTTGCAGTTGTTTTGAAAATCCTTTGATGAACCGTGTTTTTCAGGTGGATAATATGGAATGTCAGGTCGATAAGCATCAGCACTTCAGACATCTCCTCCTTTTCGCATTCAACAGAGGTATCAGAGCTGCTGATGCTGCTCGGGAAATTCGCAAAGTGTACGGAGAAGATGCCCTCTCTCTCAAAACACCCAAAATTGTTCAGATTACGCCTTGCAAGAACGGTACTGATATCCCCGACTACCTCTGTTGAATGCGAAAAGGAGGAGATGTCTGAAGTGCTGACGCTTACCGACCTGATATTCCATATTATCCACCTGAAAAACACGGTTCATCAAAGGATTTTCAAAACAACTGCAAACGCAATGTTATAGAGCACGAAAATTGGCTATCAGAAAGATATAGAACACATAGCGGCGAACATTCAAATGTTAGGCTATAAAGATTCGTGTAGAAAAGACCCGGAAGCCTAGTTCTCAACGACTTCGCGTTCCGTAATGATAACTTGAACTTAACAGAAAGCAAACACCTCTGGAGAATAGATTTCTATAGCAGTGTTATAGAGCACGAAATTTGCTATCAGAACATGCAAAACATATCAGCGAAACATTCAAATATTAGCATAAAATTTCAGGTGGAACAGACGTGAGCTGCCCAATATCGGCGAGGTGAAGGTTGGTAACTTCAAAATTCTTGAAATTCGTTCCAAAGCGTCCTAGTGAGATTCCCTTGCTGGAACTTCTAGCTCGACCTTTTCCAAATGTATGGAGCAGCTTAAGCGATTTTAGCACTTCGACTATACGTAAATAGAGGCAGTTGTCGAAGGTGCTAATTTTCGCCGACTTCGCTTTCAACTTCAACGACTAAAAAATCCACAAAAATTATTCCCTCAACCGAAGCCGTTTTGATATTCTAAAACTACGTGAAGTTTCCTATCAGATGATATCAAGCTTGCTAGCAAAACATTTCATCTTTGGAACGAAATTTCCGGTTGAAAAAAAACGAAAGTACTTATGTGCCAACCCAATAGATGGAAGGGTCCCCGTTTGGCAGTTACCGCGCGGATCCTGATCAGGGTAGAAGCACGCGCTTTGTTGTAGCATAGGTATTCGATTTTTCTAATGGTTCTCCCGGGAGGCAGGGGTGTCTCCAAAGGCAAAGGTAAAGGAAGGGAGCAACGGTGTTTTCCTGAGTCAGGCCATGCGTCTATCATCAGGACCAGGAAAAACAGTCCAGAGATAAAAAGGGAGAAGAGAGCCTGAATGCTCAGTCAATGTAAAGCCGAGTTACTTCAAGCATCAGGAAGGGGTGTAACGTAGAGGAGAAGAAAGGGCGGCTTATTATGGGTCGTGGCCACTTTCTCCCGCTCTTGTGGCAACCGGGGGGGGGGGGGGCGGAAGGAGATGGTGATATACTAATGCCTTCTCCTGACTTCGCTCGTGATATCCTCGACGTGCAGCACGCACTCAGTGGCAGAGAGCAAGCAGAAGCAAGATGGCCCAAAAAGTAGCGCGTTTGATTATGGTTAGGCGTGGCTGGCTGTGACAGGGATACGGAGACGGCACCCAGGCGTCGTTCTCCTCCAGCTACTTTCCCATGCATTCCTGAGTGGAGAAAGTGGCACGCAACAGCTGGTGCGGATCTTTTTATCTCACACATGAAAAATATCAGGTTCACGAAGGTAAGTTTAGACCTCTGAGTGAGTTGGCATGTGGCTCCTCGCAAGCATGGGGTCCACCCGGAAGGTACCCGTGAACTAGTATTCTTGTGGTGACCTTCGCATCGCTGGCTGAGGCAATAAACCTAGCAACAAGTTAGAAACATCCAAAGTAAAGAAAGGAAACCGACCATGACTGCAAGCAGCACTGGGACGAAAAGTAGTCCGTGCAGGACCCCAATGACAACGACTGCGAACACAGTCATCACGAAAGTTCGTACAATGTAGGATGGAACGAGTGCTAGCAGTGCCACGCCTACCACTGTGGACAGAGCTGCCTGCAGTATTGGTTCCGTCATCACACCCAGGCATTTCTGAAACGAGAAGTTTAAGGGGAGGTGGGGTCTTTGTTATAGCCATTTGACCATACCTTGAGCCGGTCGTGGCGTTGAACAATGAAATGAAAGGTTGTGTGAGTCACATAATCAACTGAAATAATTATGAAGTTTGAGAAAAAAATGATAAGGCGGCGGACTCGATTGGCCTCCTCCTACCAGAGAATCCAATACTCATCACTATGGTGATCATTGAGATAATGTCCAGTCGAATGCCCGCAGCTGAAAGTGCTCCGACGACTCCCAAATTGATGGACAGTATCGACACTGCGATGCAGGTAGCCGAAAGCGGTCGAGGCACCTAAATGCTATGTAGTGAGCTGATACACGAAAAGCTGTAGGTGATCAGGATGATCAGGAATACCATAAGCACACAGATGACGAGCATTGTGAGAATAGCACTGATAACGTTCGTAATTACTCCAGTTACGGTAGTCAACTGTTGATCGACAAGAAGAAAACTGAAAATGTGTGCAGACAGTGAAGTTGAAACTCCTGTAGTGAGATCACAAATAATTGAACTTTAGGCATCGCTGTGGTGGAATTTCAGTATAAG